AGCACATTTTTCTCGGCTGTTGCGTGCCTACTAGTTGCATCTACTATTGGCCACCCAGAAGTCCGGACTTGAATCTTCTGGATTTTTCAATTTTGTCCCAAACGAAAGATTCTACTGGTTGGTATAACGAATTGAGGTAAAAAATGAAAATCGCTGCCAACGAAATCGAGGCAATCCCAATATATTGTTCTAAACTCGAAAACAAAGCGCTGTGTAAAGTGCATCAGTGTCAATGGTGGACACTTTGAACAACTGCTTTAAGCACATTTTTGGTAATTAAAACCCAGCTTGCGTCGAATTAATTTATCCCAAGAACGGGCCGAAATTTCGATACGAAACACCAATGGGTACTCAATTTATGTATAAATGATTGCTGGTTTAGATATGACTTTAAACATCGAAAATAGTGGTTGCAAGTATAACCGTCATCCAAAAGAATCTCTCATGATATAAGTTCAAATTCATAGTCCAGATATTTCAGAATAATGGCAAAAAACCGAATTAAAATTACGACTCTTAACACTCTTGCACCAATGGTTGGTATCCTGTGACGTGTAGTCTCCAGTTTCCAAATTTTCGATGAATCACCCTGTATACAGCTATACATATCAAGGGTATTTCTCGTGTATTCCATTGAATTTAGGTTTAAAATTGGGCCACATTTAACTAAGTTGCGTTCCACAAACATTATGCATTCATTCTCACCTGAACACGCGATTCAGGTACCCTAATTTTTAGAGCGATGTCCTCCCGAGTAAAGATATCGGGGTATCGATTCCTTTCAAATGCGGCCTCGAGCTTGGCCAGTTGGTCTTTGTTGTAAGTTGTACGCTCTCGCCTCTGCTTCCGAGTAGGCCCACCTGCAAAATAATAATATTCGTTACATTAGAGACAACGAAGCAAACACCTGAATCAATCAAATAGATATTATTTTTCATATTGAAATAAACACGGCAAAACTGGAAGTTTTTGCTTCTGGAAAAACGTTGTAACCTGCATCGCCTGTGGGCAATTCGCCCAGTTCAAAGATTAAGTGCTGCCCAAACATCATCGTCTGCATGATAATCATTACCGACAGCAAAAAAACGGCATTGCTCGCTTTGAACCGTATACATAAAAATCCACTTTGGGTGTGTTCTTCGTCTGCTGTTCCAATGGAACGCTTCGACGGTCTTCGCCTTAAATCCGGATTACGCGCTCGGCCACAGACTTCACAAACAACAAAAATGCTCCTTGACAATGGCAGGGCTCCGTCTCATAATTCCCAATCGATTTTATTATTTACCTACTGAAACTCTATTCTATTTTAATTATGTGATCCAAAGTTACCTAACAGTCGCGTAATTAGTGTTACTACAATACTCGATGCCACTTTGAATAGCAAATTAATGATACAGATCTGACTAACTACAATACGAAAACGATAATTCAAATAAATAATGGTTCCTAAGTTTAGTGAAATATGGAAAAATAACACACGCTTGTAGATTTCAAAGGCCGAATTGCAACTGCTGAGTATATTTTTGTAGTATTTTTCTTGTTTCACTATGAAACCATAGAACTAACATAACAATATATATATATGCTTAAGCTCACTCGTTCTCTTTAGAATTTCATGAGAATAATTTCAGAAAATGTTGTATTTTTCTTTCAGAAATGGGAATTAGAAAACCAGAAAATACTCATCTAAGAACATTTTGAAGTAATAATTTGGGTAATCATTTTTCGATGTTTAATAAAACGGTCTCCAAACAACGCTAATTCTGTGTGATCATTTTTAGATTTTCATAATCATTGAAAACAAGAAATTATAAGAATTTTCTATTAATAAATTGCTGCTTTTTAACGTTGGCTAAATTTCAAAGATCATAGGGTTACTTAGGATTTTCATTTGGAAAGTCATAATTTTTCGAATTGAATGAAACGAATTGAGTTTGAATGAAAGCTTATGCCTGTATTCTTAAAAGCATCAAATATCACATGTGCTGTTTTTAAATTTAGTGAAAAAAAATCCAAAGTGAAGCTTGCTAAGACGTTAAACTGCAAACTAATTTTGTTTTTTTAATCACAACCCATTCAATTTCGCACAATTTTTTCTCTAATGCGTTGTTTACGGATTATTAGACTTTTTCGTAGGTTAAATGAAGCACTCTGTATATTACTTACATTTTATGTAAAATTCTTAACAGCGACTGACCAATAATGATGTTGTTTAATAGTATATAACATAATTAGAGTTGTAAGAAGCACTTTACGTGACTTACGTAAATACGTACCATCCTTTACCTACTAGACCGTAATAACTTCCTAACACTGAAAGAAAAGTGTGTACATTTTTAAATACGGTAGTTTACAGAAGCCCAGAATTACAAATTAAAACGTCATACGCTCATAAACGAATGTTCAAAAGGTACATTTTCTCAAAAAGTTTTATTGTTGTTTGCGGACAAAATATCAGATATCAGAATAACTTTTCAGTGGGGTAAGTATTTTTTAATACAAGATACAATGTTTATATTGTGACGAATTATGACAGAATTGTGCGTTTGGTTTTCAATGCGTAAAATGTAACTTACTTAGATGGTAGGAAGTGTGTTTTATACTACTTTCAGTAGTGGTCCTATGTGAACTAAATATCGAGGTGTGGCGTTTGTATTTATTTTTGTAAAGGAATTTTATTTGATATTCGTGTTATTTGCTTATTTGTGAGTTTTGCATTTGCCAAATACGCAAACATTGTCCAACAATACGTATAGTTTTTATTGTTTTTCTGCTAGGTCTGTCTGTGTCAATCTGTTATTCATTTTAATGTTCATTTCTTGTTTCAAAGAGAACTGAACTGAAACTATCCCTGAAGAATAAGGGTTCTAATGAAAGAAGGTTCAAGTGAGCTTAGACTTTATGTCTACTTATCTGTGAAAACTTCAATGACTGCTGAGAGAATTTTGAAATAACAAGAGCTCGCAAACTTGGTATTATTCCCGAGAATGTATTTACCATTTTTAAAATAGTAAAGGAAATTCATACCGTGCGGTGTTGATGACATTTTTGGACACATGTTAAGCCGCATGAAAAATTAATTCATAGACTTTCTTTTAAGGTCGAGTTTAAACGACCATCTTGTATAAGAAGCTTTGAAAGTGGAAGATATTGGGGATCGGTTTCTTGCAGTCTTCATAAAAACATTTCCGAGCTTCTGACAAATATTGATTAACTAAGTCATAAAAGATCTTTAAAAACAAGTAAATACAAAAAATTGCAAACAGATTACAATTTTTAAAATAGTAATTAATGTTAAAGCCAAAGGAAAATCATCTCTTAGGACAAAGAGTTGAAATTTCCAGAAATATCGTTTTTTGAATTGTAAGATACATTGAAATGAATATCACCTTACATATTTACATCACAATATATATATCACATATACATCACAATATAATATGTTGATTTCATTTTAATATAGCAATTTCTTTTGCAACGATTGTTTAGTTCATTTATTAACTTATTAGAAGAAAAGTTATCAGGCCTAGGTGTTGAAAGTCAAACGTTGAAGCAAGAGTTATGTTGGATTGTTTCAGATTACAGTGAAAACTGAAAAAAGAAACAGAAAATCGAATGCAAAGATCAAACCGAGAAAATGTGTTCGGAATTTATCTTATGTCAGAGGATAAGAAAGTGTTTCTGTCTAAAAACCCTCCAATTTTAATTTATTTTTATGGAAATGAAACTCTTAAGTTTTACTTATAAATGTTTGTGGCTCCTTAATAAGTCAGTCTTCTTTCACAAAAAATTATGATACAGTGTTTAAATACTGTTTTGAACATAGAATGAATGCTTACATTTTCTTTACTTCAGATCATTCTGGATGAGCCTCTCCTATAAGCCTTGGCCTGAAGATGTTTAGGTAAGTAGAATAATTCTCAGTCGAATACTGGGACTTATTAATTATAAGTTATTATGCAGAGCGAGTCGGGATTGAAGTGCCGTGTGAAAATATAGACAATTTATCTTTACCTAAGCAAAGAAGTTTCTGTAATTGCAAGTCTGGAAGCGCGTGATTTATGATTAATAGGGTGTGAAAAATTTGATAAAAAATACATAATTTCAAAAAATATCGTAAAATCAGTCATTAGAATTTTTACCAAGTTTTGCAGGTGACAACCGAGATAGGTATTGAATTACATTTTGCGCACTAAAAAAACCAAAATTATTCAAACCAGTGGCGTGCATACGAAAATACATGGCACATCTCTCTATATTTTTCGCACCTTTTTCTGATAGGGGCTGCATAGAGGCGGGGATAATCGGCATAATAAACCGCAAAACCAAAAATTTAAAATGAAAAGGAAAATGCTTAAAATACTAATTCCTGCGCTGAAAAAATCTTAAAAATTAAACTTTTTCATTTTTAATACCCTGCAGATCATCAGCGAAGCGTTGCTGGGCTAACATTTACAGGAACTTTATTACTTAAAATTTAATTTCCTATGCACTATTTCATATGGTACTATAATCCCGAACCACCCTGCATATTATAATATATGATACTGTTAAATAAAAAATGCTCTGTTTTGTTAAAAACAAATGGTAAATTTTCCCCGACATTGCCGTCTAAGCAAAGTATGATTGAAAAAACCTTCTTCAAACAAACCCATAATGAAACTGTACATATGATTGTTGTGCTGAAAATAACTGGTATTTCTGCTGCATGTGAAACTCTTCACTTTCCCCTGTTATTTTACATGAAAGCAAGTCGAACCGCATTATTTGGCCATCTAAAAATACTGATGGGAAATGTCAGCTGGCCAATGAGCGCGCGTTCCATGGGGTGTCAAATTCAATCAGGACTGTTTTATTGGGTTACTTTAACCGTAAATTTTAACAGCTTCGGTGTTTCCGAGGGTTGGCTACATTTCCAAATGTAAACTATTAGCGAGGGCTGAGATTTGGCATTTTTTTTGAAGGGTGCATTTTAAACACGCAAAGATTCCCCGTTGGTTGCTAGATCGAAGCGGTTGTACGAGTTTGGCGTACAAAGTTTTCCCAGTTCAATTTTCTCTAATTTGTCTCAAATTAAAAGATTGTATAATAAGTTAGAAGGGTAAAGTTTTTTTCGTAAAACCTGAGGCAAAAAAACTTAATCAAATTGATGAAGATTGCACAAAAGAAGAACGAGAAAAATAAAAAATAATAAAATATGTTGAAAAATATATATATTGTTAAGGTTGCAAAACCTCAATTCGTTTCCTATGAGTTTCTCGTCAGGGTTGATTCGAAGAAGAGGAAATGAAGAAAAATTTGCTTTGTTTGGTCGAACCAGGGGGACCACATTAAACTTTGATATTTATTACATATATATTATTAAAATTACTTCAATCATAGTCTGAAAGAGTTAAGTTGAAATTTGTTAAGAATGCTAAACTGGTTTCATGGCGACCCACCTGCTCTTCACGATATTTTAATGGAAACATAAAATTTGTATCAAACCGTCTATCTATGTATTTAGTTTAAAAGATCCGGTCAATATTGATGAGAAAACTGCGCCCGTACATTATAATTATTATAATATATAAAAAAACTTAAAAACCTATTTCAATTTTCGAAAGCACGCTAAAATTAACACATATTTTTTGTCATGCTAAAATTTGTCTCCACGTGTTCATCAATTTTAAACAGGACTATCCACGTTCCTTGTTCCGAATTTTGTTTAGGGTTAATCAACGGTAAATGTTTAAAAATAAATACAAAGAAGCATCAACCTGTTCGTTCCGATACGGATGTATTTCGAGACCTATCGTATCGCTTCCATGAGGAAGACCTAGATATGCGACGGTGTCATATCGACAGCACTTCAGAGGTTTTCGAATACGTAAGGCACACATTCTGTGACCCCGTAAAATTAGATGGCAATTACACAAATCAATAACAAATCGCAGATTTTTTTGGTGTTATCGGAAGCAAGTCAACGTCTCATAGGTAACTGTTAATGGAGCAGCTTTGGCCTTTGGGAAACGTATAGTGAATAGTGAATAACTTTCAACAAATAGTGAATGGAATAAACCCAAAAAATCTAATAAGTATATTTTGTATATTCTAACAGGTGTCTGGGTTAATTTTCATGTTAAAAAGCAGTTCGAGTCCCTGTTAAACATCCAATAATTTCACGCTGTGCAGAGAAGAAGTTTTCATTTTACTTGCAGCCCAAGTTTTCTAAATATTTTTGAAAACAGCTTTTTATTCAACTTGCAAAACCGACTTCCTTCATTTCATTGAAGTCACAACTTACATTTTCACATAGTGTGGGTATGTTTTCGCTTTCGGGCAAACACGTGACAAATTAAAACATATCAATTGCTTCAAGAGGTCGAAGGACTTCACACGGGAGAAGAATACCGCAAAGTAAACAACCAGAAGTGTTTTAGTACAAGGAAACGCAATAAAGTGACGCAATGGCTGCGGTAGTTCCTGATGGAAAATTTTCCTGAAGTGGTGTTACCCCTGAGATAGACGATTTTAGACGGGGGAGGAACAGTAGCGGTCGAAAAACAGGAATTTATTATTTAGTATGGAAGTGTTACTAAAGGGAATCGGGATACAAAGTTTGTTTAAGGATTCTATATAAAGCCAGGCAGAAGAATACAAATTTGTTTTATAGTCGTTTTTACAGTAGACATCAAAAACAGAATGAAGGAACGACTTGAAATGGAAATATAAAGTTAATTCAGTAAAAGTGACCTTTTTATACGATAGGACAAATCTAACAATTTTATACGGAACGTTACTGATTGACCCTCCAAACGTTGCGTTTCTTTTCGTCGCTTGCCATACATAATACAAGTTGGGAGCTAATAGATTTGTAAATATTGGACTTTTCCTTCCCCAGGGTATCGTGTGTGTTTGAGGGTGGAAATATGATACGTCTGTATTAAATTATTCATTGCCACTAAAGGACCCTGCGTAATGACATAATGCTAAATGATTTATTTGCCGAAAAATCAGGACGAAAACTGACAGCCGGGATAATTGGTTTTGACGATGAAGTTGGCTTAAAGTAGATCATAACATAAAATCCAACTGGATTATTATGGCCAGAAATTGCGCTATTTTTTCAGGTCGTGTGTATGGTCGGAATAGAATAGGCTGGAATGGTTTTACTCCAGTGGCTTTATGTTCATTCGGTATTGATTCTAAGCTTTTGGTTTATGAAACATGATTTTGGAAACTATTAACTTTCAGCTAAGACCAATTAGCATAAAACGCAATATTTAGTTGAGGGTCACTGTATTCAATTCAAATGGTGATACAAATTAAAGGGTTTTGGTAAGGAAATGGAAGTCAACATAAACCATTTGAGTACCTATACGATCCAAAACTCGCTAAGTGAAGCATTTAAGCACATGATTTTACAATCGAGATTTGGTTGTTTGTAATATTTGTTGTTTCATGAATTGTTTGAAAATAATTTATGTTCAGTGTTGTCTTAATCGACAGTTTTTTCGCTATTTTTCCAAACTTTCAGGAGAGCCTGCTATTCGGTAGATTCCTGCAGTTGGCACAATTTCCATAATTCAAGGCCACTTAAGTTTGGATTCGCTTCCTCCAAAGTGAAATAAAAAAAAATTAATAATT